CATATCATCGGCTAATACCTGGAACCAACTGCAAAAACACAGGAACTAAGAAAGCAATACGGACTGAATCCCCCCTCCCAGGTATTTGGGTGTGCTGCAATGCTCCAGTGGGATTCCTTCCCAGGTTATCCTCAGAGCTATTATTCTATGATTCTTGTACAATTGGGAGTCATCTGGATATATGTGTCACCACACACCCAAAGCTCTGGATGACCTCACAAAAAATAACACAGCTCAGGCAAAAATACAGATCAGGCATAAATATATTGTTTACCCAACCAACCCATTCCCCCATATGATCAGATTGCCAAAAATTGACATTGGGAGGCAGGTTATAAACAAATATAACAATAAATAATAACACAATACAACTCCCATAATTCCACAGCATTGAGTCTAAAGTGCATGCCAAACTGCATTAATGTTGCCTTAATAAATATATCTACCTTGCTTCGATTTGCACCCTTTCCCTTTTGCAACCTACCCAAGTTCCTGCTGTGCTCTTTGCAACCAAATGCTGCAAACTCCGCCCCTTTTCCCCCTCTGCTTCCCTTTGCGCGCGCTCCCGGGAACGTTCTACAGGCTAGCTAGGTCCGCCTCCTCATTTGCATATACATTATTTGCATGTGAACTTCAAGGAGGGCGGGAAGATGTATTGCACTATGGACTCAGCCTTCCTAGGCGTGTAGTGTGTTTGCTTCCCCGCAGTTAAATTTCCCAGGTACAGCATTACAATTCTAAATCCTTTCAAATTGTGTGAAACATATAAACAAAGAAATTTTTAAGAAAGTCACCCTATCTTGAAATTTATCTCAGACTCATGCTATATATACAGAAGGGATAGCGGGCTTTTCAATCAGGCTGGGAGGAAGCTCTCCGAAGAGGCCACATGCTGAGTGCACGTCACTCCCGTTGCTCCTCTGGGAAGGTCTGAGAGAAGGGCCGCTATTTCCGCCTTAGCAGGGCGCCACCTTCGGAAGGTGGGTGAGTTCCCAGCGATATGGGCCTCTGGCAGTGCCCCAGATTTGAGGCAGGAGAAGCGGGCACAGGAGTCACTCCTTCCCGCGGATGCCTCCGCGGCCTGCTTGGGGTTTGGGAACGACTCACGGCCAGCAAATATGAGTACAATGGGCAGAGGTGAAGCCGTGGCTTCATAACCCAATTCAGACTAGTCTCCACCCAGCAAATCCTTTTCCCTACTTTATTTAACATTAGCTGTCCCCTGCCACGCGTTGCTGTGGCCCAGTCTGTGTTTTGTGTGTGTGACTAGGACGCAGAACAATGGCTTCAAACTACAAGAAAGGAGATTCCATCTGAACAAGAGCATGTGGACAATTTCAACAGAAAGGAAGAAACCATGAAAATGAACAAAATCTGGCTACCAGTATTAAAAAACTCAAAAATTACAGCAGCAAAACAACAGAGGGGAAACAAACAGGCACATGAAATCACTCTCAACAAAAGATTCCCCCCAGGCGCTACCAAGCCATTGAATGCAAATCAAGGTGATCAGCTGAAACATCCACAGCTAGCCCCAGCAAACAAAAGTCCTTTGTCACACCCTGGTCATTCCACAGATATATAAACCTAGTTTTTCCTAGTTCCAACAGACCTCACTACCTCTGAGGATGCTTGCCATAGATGCAGGCGAAACGTCAGGAGAAAAATTGCCTCCATAACATGGCCATATAGCCCGGAAAAACCTACAACAACCCAAGAGGAAGACCTTCCTGACTGTGAGAGCAGTTCAGCAGTGGAACTCTCTGCCCCGGAGTGTGGTGGAGGCTCCTTCTTTGGAAGCTTTTAAACAGAGGCTGGATGGCCATCTGTCAGGGGTGATTTGAATGCAATATTCCTGCTTCTTGGCAGAATGGGGTTGGACTGGATGGCCCAGTAGGTCTCTTCCAACTCTTTGATTCTATGATTCTAAGGGTGCAGAATGCTGTGAGTTCCATTATCCATTCTGCTTCCATTATCAACAGAGGTTCTGTGGCTGCTATGGCTGCCCCTCATACAGGCGCACTGCTTGCATGACGTTTTATGAGTGATGGTCACTCGTCGGCCTGATAGGTGTATTGTGTCCAAATTTGGTGTCAATTCATCCAGAGGTTTTTTAGATGTGTTAATCCCAAAAACGAACATTACATTTTTATTTATATAGACTATCCGTCCCCTGTCACACGTTGCTGTGGCCCAGTCTGGTGATCTGGGAAATAAAGTAATGACAAAGTGTTGGTTTCTAATATATGCAATTTCTTTATGTGGTGTGTGCTGTCACGCTCTGGGCCTATAGCAATTGGCTTTTGAACAGGACGTGCTCTTTGTGCCCAGCGGGAAGCCGGGGTGCCTCGAGTGAGAGGCCCTAAGGATTTTCCTATACAGAGTCTTTAAAGCTTGAAAAGTTTAACAAAGTCCTTTATTATTGCTTAGGTCTTCAACAAAACTATCAAATACTTCTCAGATCATCAACAGGTCAAACAAATACTTCAAGGCTTTGAATCAACTGGTGGCTTTCTTAATCTTGTCCACAAGGGACAGGCAACTGGCTTTGTGAACTGTTTCTTTTCTTTAAGAGCAAAACTCTTTTTAACCCCTCCTTGGGCAATCTACTTTCTAAACTTTGCTGGTGTGGGCTCTACTCCCGGCTCCAAACTGCTTCTTGGGTCCAGAGTAGACCTACCAGTCAAGGCTTTGTAGATTCTCCAGCTGGAGTCCTTTGGAACTATTTTCCCCCTGAATTTCTTAAGAAACGAAGCTTCTCTACAGGTGGAGCTGATTCACATCCTGTAGCTAAGCTTTCAACTGTAAGACTGAGCTAAAATGGCTCCCTTTTCTTCCTGAACCCTGGGGAAAGGAGCAGAACTAAAAAAACCAATGATGATAGGCAGGTGGCTGCAAACCAAGGGAAGCTACCTTATTGCAAAATGCATGGAACTTTGGAATACATGCAAATATTCAAAGAAAGAAAAGGAAGTTGGAGCTCCTGGTACAGCCATACCAGCACATTGTGGGTAAACAGTATTTCTTGCTGTTTCTTTGTCAGTGTTGATGTAGAGATTGTCTGGTTTGCCTCCTCTGGAACATGCAACATATAATTGTCCTTCCTTAGGGGTCCCTTTCAAATCTGTGATACTATATCTATCATATACATATATATGTGTGTGCGTGAATCATATCTATTAGGCATGGGCAATCCATGGTTCTAAATGGTTCTAAAGCACTTACAAAACTAGAGGGTGCTGGTGCTTTGCTTCTAAAGTGTTTCTAAAGCTGGTGCTTTGCTTCTAAAGTATTGTGAAAGTTCTGGTGGTGAAAATTTCAGAAATCTAAGAAAATTTTCAAAATTTCATTATTACTTCGTTATTGGCGATTTCTATTACAGAACCAATTAGGAACTGCTATATATAGCAACATTTTGAAAGTTTTATTTGAGTTCTGAAATTTTCACCACCAGAATTTTAGAAACACTTTAGAAGCAAAGAACCAGGGCCCCCTAGTTTTGTAAGCCCATGCCTACTACCTATCTATCTATCTATCTATCTATCTATCTATCTATCTATCTATAGCTCTTTGTCAGGAGGGCTTTGGTTATGTTTTCTTGCCCTGGTGAAGGGAGTTGGACTGGATGGCCTTAAGGCAGCATTTCTCAACCTGGGGGTCGGGACCCCTGCAGAGGTCATAAAGGGGTGTCAGAGGGGTCACCAAAGACCATCAGAAAACACAGTATTTTCTGTTGGTCATGGGGTTTCTGTGTGGAAAGTTTGGTTCAATTCTGGTGAGGTTTAGAATGCTCTTTGATTGAAGGTGAACTATAAATCCCAGTAACTACAACTCCCAAATGTCAAGGTCTGTTTTCCCCAAACTCCATCTCTGAGCATATGGAATATTCATGCCTAGTTTGTTCCAGATCCATCATTGTTTGAGTGAACTACAACTCCCAAACTCAAGGTCAATGCCCACCAAACCCTTCTAGTGTTTTCTGTTGGTCATGGGAGTCCTGTGTGGGAAGTTTGTCCCAATTCTGTCATTTGTGGGGTTCAGAATGCTCTTTTATTGTAGGTGAACTATAAATCCCAGTAACTAACACTCCCAAATGCCAAGGTCTATTTCCCCCAAATTCCATCTGTGTTCATATTTAAACATATGGAATATCCATGCTAAGTTTGGTCCAGATCCATCATTGTTTAAGTCCACAGTGCTTTCTGGATGTAGAGGAACTACAACTGCCAAACTCAAGGTCAGTGCCCACCAAACCCGTCTAGTGTTTTTTCTTGGCCATGGGAGTCCTGTGTGCCATGTTTGGTTCAATTCCATCATTGGTGGAGTTCAGAATGCTCTTTGATTGTAGGTGAACTATAAATCCCAGCAACTACAACTCCCAAATGACAAAATCAATCCCCCTTCCAATGCCACCGGTATTCAAATTTGGACGTATTGGGTATTTGTGCTCAATTTGTTGAGTGAATGAAAATTCATCCCGCATATCAGATATTTACATTACGATCCATAACAGTAGCAAAATTACAGTTATGAAGTAGCAACGAAAATAATTTTATGTTTTGGGGTCATCACAATATGAGGAACTGCATTAAGGGGTCACTGCATTAGGAAGGCTGAGAACCACTGAATTAGGAAATGCCATAGTGTTACCAGTCTTGCATTTGCCTCACTGGCTAAGCGGCTTTGTTCCAGTCTTATCCTTTGCTTCGTTTGGATTTGTTTTACTTCTGCAGTTGGAAGTTTTCCTGAAACATATGAGACAAAGATAAAGCACGAAATGGGGAACTGGTGTTGTTGAAATATGATGTTGGCAGCTGTAAGGGGACATAGTCATAGCAACTAGGGCCTCCCAAGGTGCGTCCGCACTCCAACAAGTAAGAAAATTCGATGTGTCCATAACGTGAATAACAGGTGAGCCCAACGGTGCCTCCTCCGGCCACCAAATTGCCACGACATTTCTGCAGCAGGTCATCATGCCAGACGTCATCGTCCCACAGTTCCACCAGAAAAGGGTTGTGGTCCATCAGCGTCACAGCCCCAAAATCCACAGTTTCAGTCCAGTTGGGGTTGTTGTTGTTCCAGACAACCTTGGTTCGCCTTTCCTGGTCTTGGAAGAAAACCTTGACGTAGGCGTCGGTGGCGGTGAATTGATCGCCCCAAAGGTTGGCACCAGTGGAAATGGTGAAGCTGAGACGTGCCCGACCTCGTTCCCAGGCACAGCACATGTCATTGACGACAGCATCAGCTTGGCATTTACATGTGCAGCTCTTCTCTGTGTTTTGGGTACTCCAGGATGGGCAGTCTTGTGGGCAGTCCCTCTTAAGGGCTCTCTGGCTGATATGACCCACAATGGCTTGCTTCAACAAGTCCCTCCTTGGATCTGTTCGAGGCAACAACATATGAAGAGGTAGGAGGGAGAACGAGATCAAACCGGGCTTTGTTTTCGCCGTCTCCATCCATTCCGAAAAGCGCTGGACCTCTCCGGTTTGCGAGAAGAGCATCTCCACTCGCTGGTCTCCTCCCACCACCTCTGTGCGTTGTCCACTGTAGATGTCATAAAAGTTTCCCCAGCCTTTCGCTCCCCAGAGCTCTTGGCACTTGGACTTGAGGGAACTGGATCCAAAGAGCAATTCATGCCCCAGACTAACCTCCCAATTCAGGCAGTCCTTGATCTTGGAAATGGTGAAACCTGCCAAGGCCATAGTGCAAGTGCGCACAGCTAAGAGGTGGCGCACTCGCCCTCCCAAACGGACGTGGCTGATATAGTGCGTGCCATAGATGTTGATAAACTGCTGGTACTCCTCAAGGTTGGACTTTCTTGGCAGCCTCTCCAGCGCACGGGAGAAGTACTGGGACAGAAGGGGAGGATTTTGGAGTCTTAACCTGCTCAGGACAAAAAGTAAGAAAATATGAAAAAATATGCCTGTTTGGGGGCATCTACATTTTATACATTTAATACAGATTTTAATTAGCAGGATTGATTCCTGAGTAATCTGGAGGTTTCTTGTTTCATGAGATCTTTGGGCTTCTCTCTTAGGTTGCATCTACACTTACAATTCCTAAATTCTGCTCCTCCGGGTGTTTTGGACGTCAACACCAAGCAGCCTTAACCACTTTGGCCGAAGGTTGCAGATTCAAAATAGAGGATCACGGTTTGGGAATGACTGGTCTACATTGTAGAATGAATGCAGCTTGATGCCACTTTAACTGCCATGGTTCAATGCTATCTCTACCAAAGCGTGCTGATGCCCCACCAAATGCCAAATTCTAGGATCCCATAGCATCGAGCCCTGGCAGTTAAAGTGATTTCAAACTGCCCTAATTCTACAGTGTAGATATACTCCTAGAGTGTCTAGCTCATTCCTCTGAAGTATTGAATAGCTTTATCGTTGTACTATTACACAATGAAACTAAATGCTTTCACTAGCACATACCACAAAACTACACACCCATCCCTCCACACCTCAGGCAACACCACAGAGCCCCCAATGCCATATCAATGTAAATTCACGGAGTTCAACCTAGCCACAAATCTAGGATAAAAGCTATATCTGAAGTCTCTTTGTCCTTGTCTTTGTCACCCTGTACCATCTGCCAGATGGCAAGTATAATTCTTAGGGAAAGTATGAGTCAGAGAAAAACTACTGAGAACTAAATCAGTCTATCTTGGAAGATCTAGTACAGAGGAGTGGGCTGGATCTCCTGAGAAACAACTCTTAAATAAAGTTGGACCCCTGCATTTGCACATTTAACTTTTGTGAATTTGATTATATGTGGATGTGATTAAAACATTATCTACAAAGATTTCTAGGTCTTGTAGGATGACTCTGTGGCCAATCTCTGGCAGAAGATGACCACAGAATTGCGCTGGAAGACTTAGAGATTGATTAATGGACCTCATCACACTAGAGAATGAATCCACTTTAAATCCGGTTTCTGCTTCCTGCAGAATTCTGGGGTTTGTAGTTTTGTGAGGCTATTAAAGGCACCTCCTTGGTTTTCCCACTTTTGGTGGAGTCCTGAGCCACACAAAAGTGGAGAGCCTAGTGTAACTCACCATTGAAAGATAGATCCCAGGATTCTCCAGAATGGGGTTAAAGTGATATCAAACTAATAAACCTCTATAGTTATACCTCAAGTTACCTGGCAAAACTGCCCCCATGATCTGCAGAGGTGGTTGCAGGTAAAATAAATTTTCGGTTCTTGGGGAGTGAGGGTTGCAGCATAAGACTTTATGCAGAAACAGCAGAGACAGGATAATGAGAGACCCCTCCTCTTAAATCCATTGTGGTGCCAGTACTGCTAGTGATGCTTACCGGTAGTATTCACAGGAGATCTCCTGCTTCACAAAGCTGTGCCTATCCTGCAGAGATTTGTCATGTGCATAGAGAGTCATTTGGGACTGAGATCCAGCAAAGGCTATCCGGGCCTTGGAAATCCCTAGCTCTTTTTGCCAGTCATTTGGTGCCTCTGTAGGCAACCCCAGTTCGATTTCCCAGTCGTTGCTCACATCTTTGGCCATGGCGTGGGCCACGTCCACATCTGAGTTCTCCACCGAGCTGCTCACTTGCCGATGGCAATTGCCATGCGCCCGCCAGTCCACACTGGTCAAGGGGAGTCTCTGTAGCTGCCCATCCATTAGAGGATTTCGGCACAAGGTGCATGTCCCATTGGGTCCATGCCATCGGCTGGCATCCACGACATATGCCCCCTTCCTGGCCAGAGTAGTGATATCAACCCCTTCACCAATGAAATTATAGCCAGGAACAAAGGGAGCTGGCTTCCTGCAGACTGATCTTGGGAACAGCTGACAATGGCCTGTGGCTACTGGCCGGAAAAAAGAAAGCAAAAGCAGGAGAGAATCCAGGAAGAAGTGATGCTTAAACATAGTAGTTCTGGTAGGATCCTTCATCCCAGAGGGAAAAAGTTGGCCCTAAATCATTCCGGGAAGAAGAAAAGAGAGCGCTTGGTTATGTTTTTCATGTATTCCTTGTTGCACTAGAGCCCTGAAACATCTTTTCACCACAAACCAAACTCTATCTACGTAATCCAGTAATTAAAAGTTTATTTAAAGAAGAGTATATACAAATAAGCAAATGCAAAAGAGAATCAAAGTTCAAAAGGTTACTTCCAAGATAGCCGAGAGTCCAAAATCCTTTCAAATATAGTCTCTAGAGTAAATCCACAAAAATATCCACAATCAAGATAGCGTGAATCCAGGCAACATATGCCACACATAAACTAGAAACAAGTACAAACTTAGAGACTTGAATACATGAATTCCAAGAACATAGGACCCAAAAACCGAGAGCTGTTCACCCAAATACAATGTTGCTCTCACAAAGGATTGTATCAGCAGGGACCACTTTAAAAGGCCTCAATGACATCATTTCTCATGCACCTGCTTTTCCTCTCCTTATCTCTAAGCTTTTGGGGAAAGCGAGTTTGTTTTCGTTGCATGCTCTTTCTCCGCAGTTCTAAGCGCTTTGACCTAGGCAAACATTTGTTCCCACATTTCTCTCAGCCTGCACTTCTGGCAGGTTCTCATGAGAACTGATATCGCTTTCTCCAGTCTCATGGGAGATTCCAAAACAACTCTCTCTAGGCCACGTCTATTCTCCTCTGGGCCCTCTGAATCTATCCCATTGTCCCCTATCCCCATCTTCTGAACACTCAGAATCCGACCAGGCAGGCACGTAGCCGGGGGGGGGGGGGTTTGAGTGGGCTGTTCAGCCTGCCCCCCAAATTCTCATGGTGGTTCGCCAAAAGGCCTTACTGGTGCATTATTTAAACTGTTATGTTTATTCATATCATGATCTGATCACCATACTCAATATATCCCATATGCATGGGGGTATTGGGGTAATGATACAAAAGGTTTGCTAGGTAGACCCTCTTTCACTCAGACTCAGCCCTCCCAAATCAAAATCCTGGCTAAGCCCCCCTGAAATCAGCCCCCCCCCGAAACGAAATCCTGGCTACGGGCCTGCGACCAGGCTACAACATTCCTCAACTTTGCATTTCACTATTCCACCAAAGAACCCAATGAAGGACCCATTAAACATGGAGGTACCTTCACCACTTTTAATTGTAGCAACTGGTGAATTTACAATGTAGAATGCTGTTGGACATCACTTTAACTGCCAAATCTCAATGCTATGGAATCATGGGAATGGTAGTTTTACAAGTATTTTTTGCCAAAGAGTGCTGGTGCCTCACCAAGCTACAATTCCCATGATTTTATAGGAGTGTTATAAATTCTATAATTCTACAGTGCAGATGCACTCACCTTCAAATTAAAATCCAAGCCCTGAAGAGTTAAACATCAAAAATGGCCAGTCTGGGTTTCCTGGCATACAGATATTTTAAATCTCACATTCTGTCTATTCCAGATATGAGGACAACTGTGGTTTTGGGCAACCAAGGGAGATGAAATGCTTGCCCATTCCTACTCACAACAATATAGTGCTTTGGGGGAAAAACATTCCTACACTGAGCCGCTATGAGCGAGCTTCAGCAAAACCCAGACGGATCGGATCGGGGAAAACTGAAAGGCACAACAGATTGTGTCATTGTCCATTTTGGACAATGACTCCATATGTTGTGCTTTTCAGTTTTCCCCGATCTGTCTGAGTTTTGCTTAAACTCGCTCATAGCAGACCAGTGAAGGAATATTTCTCTCATTTCCAAAGTGCACCAGACCGCTTGACAACAATTGTCCTTTTGATCTCCATCTTTCCCAGCACTGTCTGTTTCAAATCCCTCCCTGTCTTGCTGACCTACTTTCCTCCTTAGCTTCTCTGAGCCAAGTTTATGAACAAACGGAGGGGATTTTTAACTCACCGGCTCCTTTTTTCAGCAGACAAGGCTGTTTCCAATGACAAGCTCAGCAAATGCGGCTGCTCTGCCTGTTTTGTTTTGTTTTTTTCCTTTCGAGTGGCTCCAAATTCCACTTTCTGCACATTTGGCTCAAATTATTGAGGGATCGGAAAAAGAAGGGGAAAAAAACCAAAAGGGAGGACTTCTCTGTTAGCTCTTCTGAATGGTGGTCTGTCTGTGTGCGGAGGTTTTAATATTCTGTAAGCTGCCCTGAGCCTGAATATGTGGAGGTGGGGGAGTGGGATGTACATGAATAAAACTGGATGAAATAAAAAGAAGTCAATTCTTAAGAGCTGGCATCATCATTGGCATGATTCTTTCAGCTTTTCAAACACAAAGATCATCTAGTATCAGAATTCAATTTGAAAGGCTGGTGTTTTTTCTCCCCAATTTGCATTAGCCAGTTGGAGACAATTGTTATAACAAGAAAGAACTCGTTGCTATTTTGTTATTCTAATTTTCACGGCAAAATTTGCCACTTAACAGAGTTTAACAGCAAGGAGGTATTTCCAAGTCTGTAGAATAGGAAGTCAACGTTTTATATTCTCCTCTGTCAGACTGTAGACTTAAAATAATCAAGTCAGAAGGGAGGAAAAGGAAATGAAGGAGAATGTATTGTCGAAGGGTTTCATGGCCGGAATCACTGGAGTGTTGTGAGTTTTCTGTATGGCCATGTTCCAGAAACACTCTCCTGACGTTTCGCCTGCATCTGTGGCCGGCATCCTCAGAGGTTGTGAGACCTGTTGAAAACTAGGAAAGGTTGTAGGTTGTTTCCACAACCTAGTTTCCAACAGACCTCACAACTTCTGAGGATGCCTGCCATAGATGCAGGCGAAATGTCAGGAGAGAATGCTTCTGAAACATGACCATACAGCCCCAAAAAATCACAACAACTCAGAAATAAAGGAGTGTGGCTCATTTTTCTATTATTTTATAGCAGTGGTTCAGTTGCTTTCTTCGTGACCTCATGGACCAGCCCTCACCAGAGCTCTCTGTCAGCCGTCACCACCCCCAGCACTTTCAAGATCGAGCCAGTCACCATCCATCCATCCATCCATCCATCATGCCCTTGGTTGGCCCCTCTTCCTTTTTCCTTCCTTTTTCCCAGTATCATTGTCTTCTCTAACCTTTCCTGTCTTCTCATGATGTGGCCAAAGTACTTCAACTTTGCCTCTAATATCCTTCCCTTCAGTGAGCAGTAGGGCTTTATTTCCTGAATTATGTACTGGTTGGATCCTCTCGCGGTCCAAGGCACTCTCAGAACTTTCCTCCAACACCACAGTTCAAAAGCACCCATATTCCTTTTGTTATAAATATATGAGATATAGAACATAAAGCTTGATTAAATGTACACACCATCTAACATATTGTGGTTGTTAGCCCTTCTACAGATTGGCCAAAACTTAATTCTTGTTATATCATTCCAGCCTGGTACCCTTGGCAAAACTATGAATTCCCTGATTATAAACTATCTTTTATTGGGGGGTCATGTTCGACAACACAGTGGTTCCCAACCTGTGGTCCGTGGATCAACAGTGGTATCCCAAGAACTAAAATTTGGTCCGCAGCCTCACCGTTACTGCACCATTGAATGAGAGTGACTGGTCTCACGAAACCCTCTTATAGTGCTGAAGCAATGGGGATGTCAGGAGGGGAGAGGCTGACTACCCATGAAAAGGTGCAACAAGCCTCCTGACTGCTGATTCTCCTCCTCCCTCCTCTGAAAGGTACCTGGAAGTGTGTGGGGGGGGGGTGCTTGATGTCTTTGTTTTTAGGCCTATTCTGGGGGTTATTTGGGGTGCTGATTTGGAAAACTGCATTGGATAAACCACATCAGCTCTAGATTATTAAATATGGTTTTCTGTGGGCGAGCAAACAGTGACTATTGGATGGCATATGTTCTGTATCAGAAATTAGAGCTGATGTGGTCTATCCAATGCAATTTTCTGAATCAGCACCCCAAATAACCAAACCAAATCTAAAGGTGACCAAAACCCTTTTGGGACTAATGTTGGAGAGTGGTCCCTGGTCACAAAAAGTTTGGGAACCACTGTTATAGCGCCATGGTTTGAACACCGCAGTTTGACCTCACTTTAATAATAATAATACATTTTATTTATTACCCACCTCTTTAGATGGTCCAAGGCAAGGTACAACAAAGTAAAATGCTGTTAAACTGGATTAATTCTACAGTTTAGATACACCCCAAGTGCAAGCCAGCTTCATATGTTCATAAGAATCCTTTTTCATGTGCAAAACTAAATTATGCAGTAAATCCGGGATGGTTTTAGGGGCCATAGCCTATTATCCATTGGTTCATTTATTCAAATCACGTAAATTACATATTACCATAAAGCAGTTAGCACCCTTAGACCAACCTGGCCCCTATTTACACTTTGTAACACGATTTAAAGAAATGATCTGTTTCTGGTTTGAAAGTATTATTTCCTGTTTAATTGTGTGGTACTTACTTTGAAAGTAGTTATTATACTCCAGAAACTTTGTTTTTGTGGCTGCCACAAACTATGATGAATATTTTTAAAGTAAGGTCCGTTTTGTTGTAGACACTAGTAGTTCACGCGCATACCGCAACGAGCGCGTGCGTCGTGTACTGGCATGCCTCGGGAACAACTGTGCTCAGTTTCCGCTCTGTAGCTAACCTGTACGGTTCTGTTCTGTGCTTTAAAAATGTTTAAGACTATCAACTCACCCGCCGCATGTGAGGTTCGCTCAGTGATACGGTTTTTGTCATCAAGGAACCTGCCTGCTGCAGAAATTCATCGACAGATTTGTGAAGTGTACGGTGATACTGTTATGAGTGAAAGCAAAGTGCGTAAGTGGGTACGACAATTCAAAGATGGCCGTGACAACGTCCATGATGAGGACCGCTCCGGTTGCCCTTCTTTGATTACAGTGAACTCTTGGTTATCGGAGCAGGCGGCAAGTTTTTATGAAGAGGGTATTTTAAAATTGGTTCAGAGGTATGATAAGTGTTTGAACAAACTTGGCAACTATGTCGAAAAATAGAGTGAAGTATGTACTTTCTGAAAATAA